CCCTACACCAAAAAAAAAGGAAAGCACTCGAAGACGCCATGGACTCGGAAGATAGTTTGCCTGTCAGATCCATCGACAATAACACCAAAATGTTGGCAAAAGCAACAACTAGCAGAAGCTGGGCTTGGTGAAAAAAATATAACAGTATAAATCCGGATGAATTCCAGGAAGTACTATATGCTAACTTTCCCAAGCTGAGGGATGCTGGGGGTTTTGAGATAATAATATGCTTTGGGAGAGGAAGAAAGCTTACCCCAATTAGGGGGCATATTCACCCCTGAATATAAAAGAAAAATCAGGTCAATGTAGAGTCCATATACGACCAATTCAACATGCACTAAACATGGATTCAGAAAGGGTAAAGAGGCATAATATGATCAGTTATCAATCAATCAATCAGTCAAATTCACCTATATAGCGCAAGTATCCATTAAATAATATTCAAAGGCGCTCGAGTTTTGTGTGAATTTGAAACACATCCTTAAGAAAGTTCTAATAGATAAAATATAAATGACAGTTTATAAATGATTATTAATACATCATTTTTAATTGTTTACTCTTTTAGGAAACTAATGAGGACTCTGGATTGACACAGAAGTGTCCTAAATGCCAAAATAACATTTCATTCTGTGTTTTAAAGAAACATTTGGCAAGCTTTGCAAGTAGCAGGTAACAATGAAATATATTTTCTATTTTGTATTTTTGACATTTATAAATGACATGAATGAATGAAATCAATATGATTGATATAAATATTCATACTTCAATCTATACATAATTATTTGTTAATATTGAGTCTCTACAGAGCCCTGAAAGTGACTTGGTTTAAAAAAAATATATATAAAGTATTATTTTGTGAAAATCTCCCCAAATAATATTTCCTTCCCAAAAAATATATTTGAATTCATATTAAATAAAGTCTCAGTATTTTATTGTTATTGTAAGAACAGATTCTGATTTCCTAGTGCTCAGATTTAACCCAAACAAACAATAAAAATCCATGTCCTTTCTAACATTAGGCCTAATACAGTAGATTTGTTTGATTTGGCTTGTTTAAAGAAAAAAGTAGTATCTTTAATCATTAAGCGTTATTTTAAAGTTGTTTATTAAATATTTTTACTGATCACTTCTATTTTATTAGACCTAGTCCTCCATCAACAGTATCCATACCACCTGAAGAACAGGTAAAACGAGCATTTTTGCTGTCACTGACTATATCTTTGTATAACTTATGTAATAATGATCACAACTGTTCGCAGCTGACTCGATTTTTAACTAATGTTTGAACTTTAATAATAATTAATTTAGAAAAAATAATTATCCATTTTCGAAAAAAGAAAAAATTGTCATCCAATGTTTCTGGAACAAGGTTAAACACACTTTACTGTATAGGTAAGAGATTTCCCACATGAACTGTCATTTTTTTCTGTGTTTTTTTTTTTTCAGGTTGAAGAAAGTGATACATTGTATGAACCAGACCTCACTCATAGTCATACTCCTAATGACGTTCATGTAAATATAATGTATCTGAAGAATGTACTTAATTCTAAAAGAAATATTTGTAATAATAAAGCAAAGTCTTATTGTATTTGCAGCTATTCACCTTCTCTTGAGAAACCTTCCAGTAGTACATTGTAAATTAGGTAGTAGTTCACAATTCACATAGACGTACTACACACTGTAATAATATGGAATCTGCCCCCACCCCCACCATGGCAAGGTGGTGAAGCATTCATCCTGAAAGCAAAGGTCCCAGCTTTAATACCTCGAGATAATAATCAAATTATTTTATATTAAGAAATTGTTTTTACCATATTACAAAATGGTATCGACCAGTTAGGCATTAATGTGATACAGGTTTGGACTGTTCCAATATAAAATAGGGTTGTTATTTTTTGTTTATGGTAAATTGAATTTCTTAAATTTAATTACCAGTATTATGTATTAGATGC